AATCTCAGCAAGACTATAATTACATATAAGAAAACACAAAATTATAAACTCTTAATATAAAAGAAGAAAAGAAAATGAATGGCAAATATATCATGTATCTCTTAAGTAAATTTATTAATTTAAATCAGTTCCAATCAAAATTTGCACTTTATAGAAATTTGACAAAATCATTTCACATTTGTATGGAAGAACAATTTGAAGCAAATTTTCTTCTTTAAAAGATGAATAATTTAGGAGAAATCATCACAGCAGAATTTTGAATTCATTATGAAGCTGCAGCAATTAAGACAAAATATTGCTGGCTCAGGAATAGATAGATACACAACCAATGAAAGAGATTTGAGGACACAGAAATAGACTATATTGTTTAATACATAACTTTCCTTTTACACTATGTTGAGAACTTAAATTTACAGGAGAAGAATGGGGTGTTTGGTAAAGTGTGCTTGAATACTGGTTAACTACTCTGAAAAAAATAAAATTAGATCTCTACCTGACCCTAAAAAATTTAAAAATTTATGACATATGTCATGCGACGTATATTTATTTATGATTCATTTAACATTAACATAAATGAACATGCTTTTAAGGAAAATAGCAGGATCTGGACTCTTCAGCATGTATCTTCTGTCATGTTCAGTAGAATTTTTTTTTTAAAAGACTTGATCTTTGAGGAAACAGGAAAATGTGTTTCATAACCACAAATAAAAGCAGTCAATAAAAAAAAGACGTTGAGTTAAATGATCAGACAAGGACTTCAAAGCAGCTTTTATTTATTTATTTATTTATTTATTTTTTTAGTACTTTGAGTTGCTGTTTCATCAAAGCAGCTTTTATAAAAATATGTTCTTATATCTTCCTAGTCTAAATGTTAAATGATACACCCACTTTGGAATACTATTTAGCAGTTTCTTATGAAGTTCAACAAACATCTACTCTGTGACCCAGCAGTTCACCTCATAGATATTTATTCAAGAAAAATGAAAACATGCCCACTAAAAGACATGTGGAAGAAGTTGATAGCAGTTTTTATTCATAATAATCCCAAACTGGAAATAACACGATTCTGTCCTTCCACAGGAAAACGTATAAAGTTTGGTATAGTCACATCATAGAATGCTATTTAGCAATAAAAAATCATGGACTACTGTTAATGGGCTTAGTTTCATCTCTCCCAGAATTCATATGTTGAAGTTCTAACCCCGAGGATCTCAGACTGTGACCATGTTTGGAGACACGTCTTTAAAGAGGTAATTAAGGTAAACTGAGGTCACCAGGGTGGGCCCTGATCTAACAGGACCGGTGTCCTCATAGGAAGAGGAGATGAGGACACAGACAGGCACAGAGGGACGACCCGGTGAGGGCACAGGGAGAAGGCAGTGTCTACACGCCCAGGAGAGAGGACTCAGGAGGAACCAGCCCTGAGACACCTGGATGTGGGACTTCCAGCCTGCAGGACGTGAGACAATAGATGTCTGTGGTTTAACACATTGGCTGCCACATTGGCAAGATTTTTTTTTCCTTGGGGCCATCGTGTTTTATAAAAACTTCAAAAACAAAATGACCCTTTCTAATTTAATGAAAAATTTGTTATTTTTTATTGTCTTCTGTGTGTGAGTTATATGCAACTTGAAAAATAGTTCTTGTGGCTCCCAAAGGGAAGAGACATGTGAGTTACATATGCACAATGAGGCCCTGGGCTCAAAACTAGCATGTGTTAAGCCACCGTGTCTATGGTCCTTTGTTATGGCTGCCCTAGCTCACTAATCAACTGCTGATACATTAAACAACATGTGTGACTCTCAACACCATTCCACTAAACAACCAACAGAGCCACAAATAAGCACCCTCCAGGTTTCCTCACAAAACGCATCTCAAGAACGGGTGAAATTAATCCGCAGCGACACCAGTTGGAAGTGTGATTGCTCTCGGGGCATAAGGATGAGAACAGTAAGGGGAGATCTCGCCGGGGCAATGGAATTATCCCTTATCTGGATTTGGGCTGTGGTTTCACGGGGCCATCTAATTTTCAAAACTCATGGAACTGACAACCTCAGATTACTGACTTAGCCTTGATTTTAAAAAAATAATAATAGAAGAGAACAAAGCTTCATTCTTCTCCCTAACCTGAATTCTACCATGAGCAGATTTTTATAGCTAGCCAGGTAAGAGCACATTGCTATGCTATGAGCAGCACACAGTGCAAGGATATTTGATCTGTCTACCTTCTGTAGTATGAAACCTGCACCCATGTAGCCCTCTAAAGTCCCTTAAAGCAGACCTGCATCTTACTGAGAATGTGGCGCTTGCTTTTATCAAAGTACTATCAACAACCACAATAATGAGAAACAAATAAGAATAACAACAAGCAAAATCCACCATCTCATAGAGCAGTATTAAAATTTAACCCCAAGAAGAAACTTCAGAACAGCAGTTGCATGCCAAATTCCCTATAAATATTCTAACTATGTCCTCAGAATTAATAGCATTGACAAAATACCACCATCAGAATCAACTTGATCCTCTACATGGGAAATAATGTTTCCACATTTGAACAGACAGCACAAAGGGTTTCTGCTCAAAATGCTTCTCGCGCTCTTGCAACACCTTTCAATGCTTTGACCCAAAACAATAGAAGTCTTTTTCGGAATTGAAGTTCGTCTTTGCCTCAGTTAGTTGGGAAGGCAAAGCTCAGAGTGAGATGAGAAAACTTCACATCCATGTACTTACTCGTTGTTGCATGCGTGTACTCATTCCTGTATCTGGCTGACCAGCTAGGAGCTGGTCACTCTACAAATTGAGCACCAGTTTGTATCAGCCAATGTTTTAGACATTTGCAATGCAACTGGGAAGAAAATACAAAAATTCTCTCCCTGAAGGAGCTTGCATCTTAGTTTAAAAGATGACTGACAGAAAGTTAGGCAAAAAAAAGACAATTTAAAAAACAACTAAATAAATATATTGTGTATTAGATAGTGATAAGTAAAGAGTTTTGATTGGAGTGGGAAGGGAATACAATTTCAGATATGGTTATTTAAAAAGCCTCAAGTATTAACCTTATACACTTGTTTGATATTTGGCAGACACTTTTCTAAACTACACACACACATACACACACACACACACACACACACACACACACACACACACACACACGTATGTATTTGCTCCTGATAGAATGCTATGAAATTGATGCAATGCAATTATTATGCCTTTACAGTTTCCATAAAACAACTATTCACTCGAAAAGAAGTATTCCAAAACAGATAACCGTCTTTGCCATCTTACTGTTCCCCTGCCCCTTAGGAACTGCAGAATTCTGAGCTCGTGGGTACTGTCAAATGTGGTCTCTCCTGCCATGGAACATTCTGCTTGCATTGGGATTCGAGGCATTTGGCACTGCAGAAGGGTGACACAGTTATTCTTAAAGACACTTAGAAAGATGCTAATCAAACGTAGAGAGCCCACGTTCGAAGCATGCATTGGCAGCGAGCCGGACCACAAAAAATGGTAAGTATGTGAGGTGACGGATGTGTTAACTAGCTTGGTTTAATCATTCCACATTGTATACATAGATCAAAACATCACATTGTACCCCATAAACATATACAATTATTATTTGTCAATTAAAAATAAAAAGTGAACAATTTTTTTAAAGAGCAATGCCCATAGAGTTCCCTCTTCCTACCTACCTTCGTAGGGAACTTAACCATGCTCTCCATGCTTCATTGGTGTGGACCCAACTTGCCTCTCTGTACCTCCTTCAGTCTGGGACATCATTCAAAGCCTATATATTTTTTGATAGTTATTTGATTTTTATTGTCAGTGAAAACAAGGAATTGCAGAGATTGATTATTTTATATTATTTAAGTGATATTTTCCATTATATTGATTTTGCTTAAGTAGAAGACGTTTATTAGAAGTATTCTGTTGCACAACTAATAGCAGATGATTATAAGAAAATTAGAAACATCCAGAATAACAAAAACTTTGTACGAGACTACTTGTAATCATAGAGCCTGTATTCTTCAACACTCCCATGGTCAGGTCTACTAGCATTTGTTTTAAAGAATAAATAAAGCTCTCTTAATATTGACATGTAACACCTTGTGTTTTCATGTTCATTATTTCCATTGCAAGGTTGCATAGCTAACTCTGATTTTACTGCTGATGAGACGGAGAGCTACAGAAGACAAGCATCCTGCACCTGGTCACACCTGCACCCAGGAAGTGTCACAGCTGGACCACAAACCCACTTCTTCTTTTTTTTTTTTTTTTTTTTTTTGGGTAGATATATTTATTTTTTAACGATACATTCAAGTGGCACTAATTCTTGACACCCGCAGTAACTAGATAGGTAACTGATACATGAAACCAGCAGAACTTGATAACTCTGCCACAGGCGTGGCACATGGATTGGGCCTTTTGCTGGCTGATGCTACATTTTCAAAAAAAACCTGGATCTCACCCCCAGAGCCAGGATAAACCTGGTTAAAGAGTAAGAGCTCTGTGAAGTGGTGACTCCCAGAGTACTTGCAGCTGACAGATAATAGCGAGGGACTACTGTTGTTAAAAGTGTTACAGCCTAATTCACAAAAGTTACCGCGCAACCTTGGTTTCTCTTTCTAGAAAAGGCACAGCACCGAGGGTTTATTACAGAAATTCCTTGGAATTAGCGCCTGGTGTGTCAGGTGGGGATGCAGAAGAAAGAGCGGGCGTTAGGAGCAGGTGTCAAAGGACCCTGGTGGGCCAGGCGGGTTGGACGTCCATTGATAATCATGGTTGGCTTCTTTTTTTAAAATTGACCTGGGTAGCGAAATGACTTCCTCGATTGGTAATCTAGTAACAGAATTATAGGATAAATGTAAAAAGGCTCAGTCGATCATACACTGAGATTTTGTCTTCAAAATTAAACCCGATAAGGGCTGTGCCTGTGCAGCAAGGTTTAGCAAGACAAGGGCACCCCAGATTTTTGTCTTTCCCACGGTGGCTGGCTTGCAGAGCAAGCTCTCGCTAGCCATTTCAAAAACCTCCGCTCACCTCCATTCGTTTTGGGTCTTTGCCTGAACCCTCCACTGGTACCCACAAGCGCGCAGTCCCGTGTTCGCGGATATCTCTGCCTTCTTCAGGTTTTACAGGCTCCTGCTTCATCTTGGCTAGCTCCCGCCTTGTGTGCTCATCGTTCCGAAGATCCTTCTTGTTCCCAACCAGGATGATGGGCACATTGGGACAGAAATGCTTGACTTCTGGGGTCCATTTTTCTGGGATGTTTTCTAAACTATCAGGGCTGTCGATGGAGAAACACATCAGTATAACATCAGTGTCTGGATAGGAGAGGGGCCTTAGGCGGTCATAATCTTCCTGTCCAGCTGTGTCCCACAAAGCCAATTCTACCTGCTTTCCATCCACCTCTATATCTGCCACATAGTTCTCAAACACCGTGGGCACATACACCTCTGGGAACTGGTCCTTGCTGAAGACTATGAGCAAGCATGTCTTGCCACAAGCTCCATCACCAACAATCACCAGTTTCTTCCTGATGGCAGCCATGGCTTACAAATGCCTTGTAGGATACACGGCCTGGGTGGCAGAAGTTGTACAAAGTACCTTGAACTTCTGAGATGAAAGGCTCAGGCGACGACTCCAAGTCCGGCCTCTTCCTACCAAGGACTTCTGTCCGCCAGTCGCAAGCTCGGAGACGAGAGCCGGTAGCAGAAGAGGCGACCACGGACTAACGAGAGAACCGACGGAGGACCGCAGGCGGCGGGCGGGGAGCGCGAGCGAGCCCCATTTCTTCTGATAACAGATCCCATGCTCGCTCCCCTGAATCTGCCTATCTCTGGCACCATCAAAGTCATAATCACGATACCAACACATCTACTAACAGTGCTTCTTCAGGATTTCATAGCCCATTTAATGCGTTTATCTCATGTTTCCTCCTACATCAAACTCAGTGTCCACTTTGGACTGAGCCTCAGTCTGTTTTCCTCATGGGCTGGCTTAATACTCACCCAAAAGTACAAGTGACATAAGAGACAGAACTATAGTGTTTAGAAAATCTCCAGTTACTTACCCATGATAGTTTGCAGAGGTGTGCAATGAAAACAGATTGCTGCTGACATAATTTTACTTTTTCCATGGTCTTTTTAACATGAGGTGCCCTGGTCTGATGACCCTAAGGGACAAAACAAGCTGGGAAGTTCTCACGTGAGTACTGTAGAACCCTGGTGAGATCAGATGGGAACATGCCATTTGCGATTTGCCCCCCAAAACAGCCCAGATAGCTAGAGAAAATTATAACACAAAAAGGCTACATGATTGTTGAACCTTCTAAGCTTGCAGGGTCAGCGCATTTTTTGGAGAAATAGACTCAGGTTCATCCCAGTGTGCAGAAAATAGATAAATCCATTCAGGTAAGATATGACGATCAGTGCTTCTCAAACATTCATGTGTGTTGAGTGTCGTGAAGGTGTTGCCACAGTAACATTCTGATCGGGCAGGGCTTGGGTGGACCCCGGAGAGTTTGCAGTTCTAAGGAGCTCCCCTGCCGTGCTGGGTGTTGCTGGTCCCTGGACCACACTTTGAGTAGCCCAAGTCTTACAAATCATTGCAAATGGCAGAGTCTGGAGGGATATGCGAATAGATTGAAATCCAAATGCCAGGACACCTGAGGGCTCTCAAATAATGTAGTTAGGAGAGCTTCTCGAGTCAAAAATCACCTCGGTCATCACTGTTAATGACAGGTGTGGATGTGGCCCTCAATTACTACAAGATGCTTTCATAGTCATCGCTCATTTCAAGCTCAAAATGTCTTTGTGAAATCAACAGGACAGATATTATTTTCTCTCGTCAGAAGCAAAGTCACATAAAGAGGATAGAAGAAAATGATGCCACGGTTTAGTGTTCCCTGCTTCTACCATCTCTACTTTCTCTAGTTTTGGGATTTTTCTACAGCATCTACATTCCATAGATGGCTTTCTGTCCTCTTAAATGGGTCAAAATTTTCCTCCACCTATAAATATATTGTGATTGAAAAAAAAATGATTGACAATGATGAAGCTGACTTTCTTGCTAATTCAAAAGTACGAATACTGTTTAGCTGGAAATTTTGCTCCAGGAAAAAAAAAAAAAACATACAGTTTTTGCAATGAAGAGTGATGATTATTTTTGTTTCGAGACATCAGCAAGTCACACATATCACAAAAGAAGTACCAGAATCTCCCTATGCAGGGAAGTTACAGGCTATCGATGTAAAATACGAAGTTCCCTTTCTCTTACGTTACCCCAGACTGCCTTGCAGGGCTCATCCAGAAAGAATTCAAAAATTCTCTTTCTTGCATAAGCATGTCCCTCTTCTGCGGGCTACCTACAACTTCTTTCTTCTGCATCAAAAAGGCATAGCTATTTTCAACTTCAGTAGGAAGAAAACGGTCAAGACAAGAGATTCCAAGAAGAAAAAGCTGGAACAATGAACCGCTGGGCCCTCTTGACTTACATAATCCACCACAAGAGAACTCAGCGGGAGTTAGAGACAGGAGAGGCAACATTGATAAAACTAGGTTCCAAGAATCAGGAGATTTGAACAAGCCGGCACCCACAGATCTCCTTGAAGTTCCGCCACTTCTAACGTGGTTAGAAATGGTTTGTAAATTCCGTGATTTCCTTGGTCTACAAAGTTACAGAACAAATTACGTTTTATGTCTGGATAAAGTGTGTCTCTCCCTTTTCTCTGTATCTCTGTGTTCCTCTCTCCTTTGGAAGAGAGATTTTGTCCTGGAAAAAAAAAATTAAAAATGGGAAATCTAAACTGATTCTGTATGGTGCATGGAAGCCTGAGAAAGCAAATCATTTTTTTTTTTTGATTAAAAATTTGAAATAGGAAACAAGACTACTATAGTGAAAGCATACTGCCCTGGAAGTTAGAAAACAAAGTTTATTCTGTTTTGTTTCTTTTTTGTTGTTATTGTTATCTGATGGCTGTTGGTGCTTAACTTTGTAGACACTCATGATAGTAATGTCTCACTACACCTGTTGAGAGTCATGTTCCAAACAGTCTCATAATATTACATATATATATATATGTATATAGTATATTGTGGGAAGATCAAGATTTAGAATAAGATAGGGAGAGATAAGTATTTAATATTTATTAGATAGATATAGAGAGGTTGACTGATGATAGTTTAGAGACAAAGAGGCACAGGGAGACATATGGAGACAAACATAGATACACAGATGACAGATAAGATAAAGGAACAAAAAAAGATAGATGGACAGATGGATGGATGGATGAATGGATACATGGATGGATGATTATATAGATAAGATGGATGATTGGATGGATGGATGATTATATAGATAGATGGATGATTGGATGAATGGATGAATGGATGGACAGGCAGATTGATATATATAGAGAGAGGTGGTAAATAGATTCCAAGTTCTTTCTCCTGCAGAATGTTAGAGGACTAAATAAAATACTCTTATCATCTCCTATTATGTGCCATTTACATTTTATTAATATTAATATTTTAATGTTCTCATACATTATTATTTCAGAATGATCATCTTGACTTACTAAACGTTTTTTTTTTTTCTGGCAGTAACTTTTGTGTATTAATAGATACAGTAAAAAAGCACTGGGAAGTGAAGGTCTTTTTTTAATTGTTTTTGATACTCAGAAATGCAACAGTAGAGGAGCAACTCTGAATTCCTCTGAACTCTTGGAAAAAAAGGTTGCCCACTGGGTCTTCAACCCATTCTGCCGCCTACATAATTTAGATACCAATGGTTACAGTCTTTAAGAATACTCTGAATTCAACCAAGCTGCATCTCCAAGAATCCTCATTTGAAGCTCTGCAGGGTAAAACCAGATGCTAAACTCATTTGTCCTTATCGCCATCAGAATAAAATACAACCGGGATGGATCCTTAGACCAGATGCTAAAAGTATCTGGGCTCTGCTTTTCTTTCAGGTCCACTGAGAACGAACAATTACATCGGGAAAATCTCTTTTGTATCTCGACCTGCTCTACACCAAATCTTGTTACTTTGGCCACCGCTGCAAATTGAGATGTAATAAACCTAAAGAGATTAAATTATGGCATGTTATGTTTTCTGGAAGAAGGGAAGATCAAAGCCAGCCTGGGGATATAGATAGCGGAATCCTGCTGCTGTTTGTCTGACTCTGTTCCATCCCAGAATTTAGTTACGGACCAAGTCTGGAAATTCTACTTTGCTTGTCAGGGCTTGCTGGGAGGGCGGGCACATCCATGTCAAATTGGGCCCATGAGTCGCAAAAAGAGTTTACTGGAGGGGGCTCCTGGGAATCACAGGTGAGTTGTGCACCTTCCATCGGGGTGTGGATGAGCAAGCTCTGGTCGCTGTTGGCAACGGCCTATGGCCAAGATGACGTTGGTGCTTTCAAAGGCACAGCGGCAGAGACAGTTGAACTGTTGAAGCAGCCTTTTCTGAGTTCTGCCCTACCCCCGCATTTATGTCAGTCGAGCCTTTACTTTTTAAACCCGTTTGAGCAGAGCTGTCTGCTCTCTGCAGCCTATAGCCTCTCTGTGGATGTTTGCTACTAAAGTATCTTCATTTATTGACACCCACTGCATGAGTGGAACGGAAGGAGAGAAAGATGAGCAATGCATAGTCTCTCCTCTCGGAGACCTCGCGGTGCTGTTCCTTGTAAGTTTATTTGTTGAAACTGCAAATCGACAATCAGAGAAATCACTCCTTTGCAATTTAAAACATCTCTCCAAAGAGGCAAATTATTTTTCTCCTTTATTAAACTGAAAATGTCCATGTTATTTTATGTCCAGTGGAGTTAAATTTCAAACGCCTAAGGTAGTTTTCCATGTATCTTTTCTGAAAGAGTTTTGATTTGTATGTTTATTTTTCCTTTGCTCTCAGGATGGATCCACAAAGAATAGGATTTCCAAGTGTTAGTCTGTGTAAATATCTATGCTGTATTCTTAATGAAATAAATTTTAAGTATAGGATAATGCCATCTCTTTAATATATGCATTCTGTATCAAGGTATAAACTTGTTATGTGCAAGTATATAAAAATGCAGTCATACATATTTATATTTGCTTACTATTGCACAGAAAAAGTCATGCTGCAGGATACTCTGGTGGTAAAATTGGAGGTGTTAAAGGAATCGATATCACTTGATTTTTTTTTTCACAAAGGATAGTTACATTGGAAATAGATTCCCCCAAATTCTTACATTGTATCCAAAAAATAGTTCAAATGCACTCAGAGAACAATTGCTTTTTATTGGACAAACAGAACATAATTAACCAGGTAAATATGATGCCAAATTAATAGATCCCAATGATTTTTTTACTCGTCTACTTATTTAGAGAACCATTGCTTCTGTGCTTTTCCGATATAGCTGAAAATAAACAAGAGTTACATAATTGTCTTTTGCACTGTTGATCTATTTTTTACCTAGCCAGTCTCTGAGATGTTCTCTAAAATCACCCGAACACCAAGAACCTTCAACAGGGAAGTGACTGCTCATTAGAAATATATTGATCGCTTACCTCTGATCATGACGTTTTCAATTCTACAGACGTTCCAAATTCCATATTGCTAGATATTATAGGTGGGTCAGAAGAGGCATGCCAGTTTTGTAGATAAATATAATTTTATGACTAGTTTAATTTGAGACTATATCTGACGAAAGCATGCCAACACGAAGCAAACTCTGTAATTCATTGATTTGTGTCCAG